CATTTTTATGTGATAGAATTTTCTTATTTTTAATTCGGTTTGAAGGCTTGCAATAGTAAAGCCCATCTTAGGCTTTTACGAAATTATATTTAATACGTAAATAAACAATTAAAGAATATGATTTTAATGAATTTTTAACCTAGTTTAGCCAACTTTTTATTAAATATATAATAAAATTGACTAGTGCCGTTCATTATAAAGTAGTATTATATTATTGTTTGAACGCAATTGTTAATCGCGGAGCCTTCGAAAAATATTTGTCGCCAGCCGGCCGCGCGACACTCGCGAACGTGTGCTCTGAAGAGTATTATAAAATATAGTGAAAGGAAGAGATGATGATATTCAAGGACAATAAAAGGCTAAGAAAATGATAAACCGATTATTAATGTGCACTTGGGCACAAACCAAACTTAATATTATTAAGGTTAACAAACAATAGGTAAAAAAAAACAATCTTATCTAGTGTGGTGGTGATAATGGTCCAACTGATTATCGTTACACCTGACTCCTAGAGGGCAGCGTTAATAAGCACTGCTACCAACCGGCAAACCGCAATGGACAAACAATCGTGGAGATGGATGGCTTGTGTCGGGAACACGGTTGGCACTACTGGCGTACGTGACACGCACGATGTACCGGCTAGTAACAATGGCCATGGGTGAAAACCACGTGGACACCAACGAAAAACCAGAGTAATCGCGAACCGAAAACAGGTTGACGTACGGAAGACGCACCCGAAGAACTGTCTAATACGCACAAAAGTGAGTTCGTGAAACACGTGCACGGTGATGGCACAACACCACTGTCAACCAATCGACCGACGCGATAAACAGTGTAAAGACGCAAGGCTGCGAAAGTGACCACGAGGTCGACAATATCTAAAAATGACGCGTTGACACTACACGCGGTGACACACACACGAGATCGACCAACGATTGCGGATCAAACGCACGACACATGACAATCGTGTACAAAAAGGAATCGGCGTTAGGAAAAACACACACGGAAAGAAAGACGGCGCAGGCGCGGTAGTTATCGGCCGGCAAAGTGCAAACGTGTGTCGCAAAAAAAAAACAAGTTCCCCAGCAGACGCCACTGCGATCAACGGCCGCCTGGCGCGTCACTGGCGGGAATAAAAAAGAGGAGGTACCGACGGTGGTCTTCGCGAATCCTCGACGCTCGTCGCGATGGTGCACAAACATACTCCCCCCATGGGAGGCGCAGCCTCTCATCCGCTGGTGCAAAGGTTGAACTGGACTGCTGGATGATGACAAAGACTTCACGGAGTCAGAGTGGGATTGTCACCACTTATCACCCCAAGAAAAAATTACAATTGAAATACATGGCTATATAATATAACAAAACAAAAAAATGGTGCTGTTACTGTAGCATGACAACAAAATAGTTATACAAAAAAAGACTTATAAAATACAATTGTGTTAGGTCATATATAGAAGATATCCATGAGTGAACAAAGAGTGGGTAGCACTTAACAGGGGTGCCTGGACGGGTCCCTTGGGTACGGAGAACGACCAAATTGACGACAGGGCGCGTTACTTGTATAGTTTACGTTGTAAACTATACAATTCATCAGTAATGATCGCCGGGATCACTTTTTTATAATATTTTTATATCGCGTACTGTCGCGTTTTTATCGGCATCGGGCCGAATATGGTCATTTCGCGCACTGTTACGTTTCTACCGGCATCGGGCCGAATGTTATATTAAAATAGGGTATGTCGCGTTCTGCCGGCAACGAGCCGTAGCATTGTAATTATTAGTGTTTTTATGTTTAATATACAGTCCACTTTTTAGTTCATTAAATTGTGTTGGTTCAGTGTTTTATCGACATTATTATTACCTGACCAGTCTCTCATAGTGTTCTATACACCCTAAAACTTAAACCCGGATATAGTTGCCAACATTTGATCCTTCGAGCCGGATATCAGGTAATATTTTTTGGTTTTATAATGTTTATTTTGTCTTGGTGCTGAATCATAGGTCATCCAAAACGCCAATCCGATGTGGCGAATACGGAGCCAAATTCGTACGTGCACGCGCAGCACGTGACTTAACATTGCGGTCAATTCGTAAGTTAGATATGTTAGCTCTAGAGGCGCTAACGGATATCGGAATACAATCGAAAACGTCGAGTGTGACCAGTACATAGAGCAGTTTCGATTACAACAACTAGAAGTGTTGAATATCATGGTTGATTCAGGATTGAAGAATGAATTCGACGATGTAGACATACAATCCACTGACGAGATGGAAGAATTGTGTTTACGTATTCGGATGGTTGCTGATGTAATTAAAAATGCGTCTAGTGAAGCAAAACAAAGTGTGATTCAGGAAAGATTAGTTCAGTCGGGAACTAACCTAACGTTGCCCAAAATAGAATTACCAAAGTTTGATGGGGACGCTGTGCAATGGTGCTCGTTTCGCGATTTGTTTTTGTCACTTGTCCATAATAATCAGAACATTTCGATTATCGAACGATTTAATTTTTTAAGATCGTGTCTAACAGGTCCCGCGTTAGCAGTTATCAAAACTTTTCCGTTAACGGCCGATAACCATAGCATCGCGTGGAATGCACTTCAGAAATCGTTCGAGAATAATTGATTATTGGCGACGGCGCACATTGATCGATTATTTATGTTCTCTTCCCTCAACAAAGATTCTGCTTCATCTCTCACGGCGTTTATTAATACATTCCGTGAGAACGTCGCTGCTATTAAAGCTTTAGGCATAGAGGACATTTCTGGTTTTTTATTGTTTTATATCGGCGTGCGGGTGCTTGATGTTGAAACCAAAAGACTTTATGAAGCCAGTATACCACAATCAGAAATACTGACTTTGGATAGCTTGTTGGATTTTGTTTCCCAACGCTGTAAGATACTCGAAAACATTGGAACTACTGCTGACAAGATGGAATTGGGTGTCAAGATTACAGGGAAGAAAAGCAAGGATGGTTCATCCGGAAAATCTTCGTTAACGGTGACCTCACGTTTGAATTCGTCAAAGTGTGCTTATTATAAAAATGACCATCCGTTATATCGGTGCTTTTCATTCAAACAAAAACCCATGATAGCCAGAAGAAAATTTGTAAATAATAACGGTGTGTGCTTCATTTGTTTATTACAAGAACATCAGTCGAAATCATGTTTATCAACACGAATATATCGAACTAGTGATGGGAAACATAATACGCTTCTACACATAGATAAGGACGTACCCGTATCACCCAGTAATGCTAAATGTTCAATAGAGAAGGCATAGACTTCAAGGGAGTCAGAAGAAAACGAGACAGCAGCCTCTGGCAGTTCAACTAAGTTCCAGCTACTGCACGCACAGAAATCACGGTGGTTTTAGGTACGGCTATGGTGCGTGTAAGGGACAGCTTAGGAGAATTACAAGTTGTACGAGCTTTATTGGACAGCGGTTCTCAAATCTCTGCGATCACGTCTGAATGTGCCACTCAACTTGACTTGAGACGTATTAAGAGTCGAGTTGAGGTATCTAGGTTTTCGCAACAGCCAGTTAACAAAGTGAAAGGGGCCACACAATGTTAATTTGTCCTTCTTCACGCTAAAGAGCCGCAGTTTTGTGCTTCCGATGTCATTATTCTTACACACATTACAACGCAACTACCTGGTGATAAACTGCCTGCTGCAGTGCGTGAGCGATATCGCCACTTGGTGCTAGCCGATCCGGAGTTTGATGTTCCTGGGCCAGTTGAATTGTTTATATGAACCGTTTATATAAATATAATAATATTATATATGTTAATAGTTTACCGTCCAAGGCAGATATTATACATACTACAGGTATGCCTTCCGCCATGAGCACTCATCTCGGATGGATCGTAGTAGGACCATTGGCAAAGTCACCTACTACGTCCTAAGTTTCGTTATTGGTAGGTGCAACACTTATATTTTGTCCCACACTATGCAGTGGTTAAACGTATAGAACAGGGTTTGAGAATTCGTGTTGTATTTGATGCCTCGGCTAAATCCTCATCAGGAAAATCGTTGAATGACTGTTTGTGCACTGGCCCAAAATTACAAACAGAAATTGGTGATGTATTATTGCGCAGTAGATTTTATAAGTACATTTTTATTGCTGACATCACGAAGATGTATCGGCAAATTCGAGTGCGAGAAGAAGATTACGTATATCAACATATCTTGTGGCGTCGGTTTCCGGAAGAGGAGGTGCAAGAATATGAATTACTTACGGTCACTTACGGTGTAAATGCTGCCCCATTTCTTGCATTGCGATGTCTACGTCAGTTGGACTTTGACGATGGTGCAAGATTTCCTCGTGCCAAGGGCTTGTTAATTTATAATACTTATGTTGACGATATATTGGCTGGTGCTGACAGTACAAAAGACTTGCTGGATGTACAGAGGGACCTTATTCGATTATTAAAGTGTGGTGAGTTTGAATTAAAAAAGTGGGCTAGTAATTGTGACGCTGTAATGAAATAAGTATCTGTCGAGGGTCATGCAATAGAACCAACATTCACACCAACTGACGACACAACGTTAAAGTTTTTAGGTGTACATTGGGATCCCATTACAGATATATTTGGATATCATGCGAATATTAACGATGTGTCAATTACAAAGACATTAGTATTATTCACAATCGCACGACTCTACGACCCGATTGGTGCGTTGGGTCCGGTGTTACTGTGGGCCAAAGGTGTGATGCAAGATCTATGGGTGGAGAAAATTGAATAAGACTCTCCATTACCCATGCCATTAATGATGAAGTGGCGTCAATTCTTGGAAAATTAGAGTTGCTGTTACAAATATCATTACCTCGTCATATCAATATTTGCCAAGTCACAGAGTTGCAGTTGATTGGTTTTGCTGATGCTTCCCAGCGCGAGTATACAGCCTCGGTGTTTTTACGGATAACTGACAGTCTAGGAAACTTCAACGTTCATTTTATTGCGTGCAAAACCAAGGTCGCACCCTTGAAATCATCACAAAATGACTACATTAACTATTCTTCGGCTCGAGTTATATGCTGCATTACTGTTGGCTCGAATGTTGTCACACCACCTCACCTTATTGAATAATGTTGTCACCATTGACAGAATCAGAGCTTGGACGGATTCTATGATTGTCTTAATGTGGAACACTCAGGAGTACAGACAATTCAAAATTTTTGTAACAAACCGAATCGCCAAAATTCGAGGATTGATACCTAATTACATATGGGCCCACGTGGGGACGGCTGACAATCCGACTGATCCAGCATCTCGAGGAATGTTGCCTCGAGATTTAGTTTCATGTTCTAAGCATCTCACAGGACCGGGGTTCTTGCGTCAGGACGATTCTCAGTGGTCTCTTTCAGAACCAGTGGAAGTTACGGTACCGGTCGAAAATTTATCAGAATATAAACGTCCAACAAAATGTGCACTGCACATTCAATACGACTCAGAATCGGATGAGTTACTACGTCGTTTTTAATATTTTTTAAAAATGCAACGTATAATTGCATATTATTGTCGGAAAAGGAGTCGGCGTTAAGGTGCAATTACATATACAGAATTAAACCACGCCTTATGTGCTGCCATAAAGATGACCCAAAACGCTCATTGGTCACAGTTACTCAAGCAATTGGCGAGCTCATCTTCATCAGTCAATCCAGCTACTAATGCTCGACTCGCATCCTTCTTAGATTCTGACGATATCATAAGGGTTGAAGGTTGATTACAGTTTTCTTCCTTGAGTGAACGCACCAAGCATCCGATATTTTTACCGAAGGCTGCTCATCTGACTTTATTAATAATTCGTCATTTTCACCTGAATCTACTCCATACCGGACCTAAGCTTGTGATGACAATGATCTACAGAAAATTTTGGGTTGTTTCTGGACGTGCAGCGATTAAGCACGTCATTCATTCATGTATTCCTTGCGTTCGACATCGAGCGGCTTGTCCACAACCGATGATGGCGGGTCCACAGGCTGCCCCACATTTTGGCGGACTATGGGAAGCAGCTATTAAGAGCGCAAAAACACATTTGAAACGAGTAATTGGAACGCAAATCCTTACAATGGAGGAGATGATGACACTCACAGTTAGTATAGAAGGTATACTGAATTCACGCCCACTGACGACGCTCTCTATAAAAAAAATATATAGCAGTTCCAATGATTCAACTTCGCTGACACCTGGAAATTTCCTAATAGGCTAGCCGATCATGGCCTTATCGGAGTAAAACCTAAAGGACGTACCAACTAACCATTTGAATCGATGGCAATTAATACAACAGGCAAAACAATCATTTTGGATTCGTTGGTCGCGAGAATATTTACATACGCTACAAGCTCGTCAAAAATGTACACTCCGAATCTAACATTATCTGGTGGAGATGTAGTCGTTATCAATTCTCCAAACCTACCACTGATGTCATGGCAGATGGGACATGTCATCGATGTACATCCTGGAGCAGATCAAGTAGTTCGTGTCGCAACGGTGAAGACTGCAGATGGAGTCATGAAAAGACCCGTAGTTAAATTGGTAAAACTACCGTTAACTCGAAGAAAGGATTTCAACATATTTATATTGTATAGCTTTATTTATTATTAATTTGATTGTAAATAATTTGAATAATGTTTAAATTTTCCGAAGTGTTATAATTTTATGTATATTCTGTTTGTATACTTGTATATTTTTAAGGGATTTGTAATTTGTTATATTTTTTTTTTGTTTTTGTAAATAAGTTTTTGTTTTGAAAGAGCATGTCTTTCAAAGGCGGTAGGATGTTCGAAATAGTTTTGTCTAGAATATTTTCGGGGTAGTTCGCGGGCACCGCTGGTCTACGACCGGGCGCATGGCGGCACGTGTTTCTGGGAAAAAACCGGTTTGCGGGCGGCGCAGCCTCGTAATTTCTAGAATTTTCAAGCTACTGTGCGCTACAGATATAAAAGGCCGACATGCCCCGGAATCTACACAGATTGTCAGTTACACAATCAGTTAGTTGTAAACTTTACAATTCATCAGTAGTGATCACCGGGATCACTTTTTTATATTTTTATATCGCGTACTGTCGCGTTTTTATCGGCATCGGGCCGAACATTGTCATTTCGCGCACTGTTACGTTTCTACTGGCATCGGGCCGAATGTTTTATTAAAATAGGGTATGTTGCGTTCTGCCGGCAACGGGCCGTAGCATTGTAATTATTAGTGATTTTATGTTTAATATACAGTCCACTTTTTAGTTCATTAAATTGTTTTGGTTCAGTGTTTTATCGACATTATTACCTGACCAGTCTCTCACGGTGTTCTATACACCCGCAAAACTTAAACCCGGATATAGTCGCCAACAGGGGAATGGAATAAAAAAGGTTGGGAACCACTGTATTAGACTATTAATTATTAAATAACTCATATCTACCTGTGACATATTTTTATTGTTGAAAAGTTCGTTTACGTTTTTCGATTATATATACATAATATAAAAATACGTTCGTCCGACTTTATTAAACTATTCAGACGAACAATTTCGAGCGACGATATTTGTGGAAGACTGAGCACGGTTAATCGAGATCACGGATAATCGAATCACGGTAAATCGGGCTTCAACTGTAGATCATTTTTTTTTTTAAAGACTTTATTTAAATAAATAACCTACATCAAAATTAATATTTTTAATTTTATCTATATAAATATCTATATCATGTGTGTCCGTTAAAAATCGCCCCCCCCCTACCGTTATCTCAGTCTGGATGCGCCCCTAATGTAAACTCATTAAACCGTTTGAACACTTCATAGCATAAAGCGCGAAAACAGAAAACGGTACCACCGCACGACGCTGTTACCATGGTTTCTGGCGACGGAGGGGGGGGGGCGGCAATGATTGCTCTACTAGCAGAACGAGCACGCCAACTCTTTGCTCAATGCTTGGCGGGACGGCTGACTGAACGGACTTGTTCTGTCATGTACAATATGCGTTTCACAGTCGTCCGTGGTGGTGGCGGTGGCGGCGGCCGAAACAACCGTGACGCGCGCAACTTCGTACGACATCACACGCGAGCGCGCGCGCGTCGCCTTGTTCAGATCAATAATTCTGCAAACATCCAGCTGGTCCTCCTGGTGGTGCGCCGTGTGTTGCTACTACCGTCGCCACCGCTGTGCTTTCAGGGGAGTTTCTCACGTATAACCGAACGGTGGCTCTGCGCGTCCGTTGATTATTGGTGACGACTGGTGGTGGTCAACGCACGCGAAAACCAATTCCGCACGGGCAGTGGGAAAACGCGGAAATAAACGGCGGCAAATGCGAATAGCAACGACGGAACACGCTACCTTTGGCGAACTCGCTTATCATTTGCGCGCCCACTACTCCCTTGAAAATTATACCCCGCTCAGTGTTCAGTGCATAAATAAAATTAAATAATCATATTGTACAATCTCTCGTGTACGGGGAAACACAAATAACACGCTGTCCACCACACAACCACCCCCACACGACCGCAGCTACCCTTCTTTTATCACCCTCCGCGGGTGTGCGTGCGTGTCTAGCGCACGCAGAAATACTTCACTGTTACCTCCGTCGCCGCCACCACTGTAGGTACATAATATACATGTAACGCACCATAATTTACACAAAAGAGGAGACAAGTGTGTTTGTGTGCGTGCCGCCACCGCCGACGTCGCCGAAGTCGTCGTTGTCGTGTAGTTATACTAAACTTCTTTCGCGCTATCCGCCTTTGAAAAATTGTGATTTATTTTGTTATAATCATCATTATTATAAATTATTATATCGTCACATTCGTTGTTATTATTATTATTATATTATCTACCTATTATTTTTTTATTGTTTTTATTTATAAATATTATTATTATTGTTTTGAATCTTGTTTTTACTTGAATACCGTAAACCATGATCTCCGTATTATTATTAACGCCCTTTGTTCGCGTCATCCTTATTGTTTTAGTGTATATAAGTATTACAGGGCAACTGCCATTGGTATCCAGTCAGTCGCCTTCGGTTTCTTACCACCACGAATCAGGTAAATTTAATTAATTATATTATTGTTATAGTGTACGCCCGCCTATTTAATTTTAAGACTACTATTCCGATTTGAAAGTATAGGGTTTAATGTACCCCAACATACCGTTGATTATTTTGTTTTCACCCTTAATCTAATTGTAATTTTTAATTTTGAATTCATTTTTGTTCTCTTTTTAAATTTGTACCAATCACAATCACTTGTGCAAGTGCAACAATGACCTAAGACAGTTCATTTTACAGGTGATTATTAATGCATATAGTTTTATTTTTGAAATATTTAATGCTACTGTTGTTGTAGGTTAAAATTATTCAACAGCAATTTATAATATTAGGTTTTAAATTAATTTGTTTTTCTTTCTTTATTTTTTAAAATTTAATTATTTCAACAACAGTTATATTTTTAAAATGATTAAATAATTGTGTTATTTAATTATATTAGCATATTAGAAATAATTTAATTAATTCAAATTTAAAATGTTTGAATAATTTATCATTATTATTTTAAAATATAATATTTAGTAAAAAATTAGATTTAATAATTTGATAACTTGTTTAGATTTTATATCTAAAATAATGAAAAAATAAATATTAGCATTATATAAATGAACCCAAGAGATATTTTATGAAAAAAAAAATAAATAAAATGGGCAGTGTAATTAATTTAAAGTATTCTAATCAATATATTGAATTAAAAAATTTCTGATTTTAAAAATCTTTATAAAAACTAATTAACTAATTGAAAAAATACTATGTTACATAATACTATCATTGCTTGAATATTCTTTACTTTTATAACTTAAAAAATAAAAACAACTAATTAGTATATTACTTAATTTCATTGCAGTTTATATTCAACCTCAAAATGTTCCATATGGGTCTTATGTTGTTGAAGATATTTCTCAGCATTCAAATAAAGTAAGTTAATTATAATTAAGTATTTTGGATTTTACTTGTGTAAATTTCTTAATATTATTTTAAACTTTTTAGGAACAAGTATCTCATGAACGATCGAATCCCACTCAGTAAGTACATTTTTTTTTATAAATTTGCATGCATAAATTTAATAATAAAAATAAAACAATAAATAACCATATATATGTATATATATATATATTAATTTAAAATCAGGCAACAGGTTGACCTATATTTGTATGTGTTTGTACTTGAAAACTTAATTACATTTTATTAAAATTTTAATCTAAGGATTATAAATATTTTTGTATTATATTATTTTTTAGTACCTACTCATAAATGATAAGTTTAACTACCAATGGAAATATTAATAAATTGTTGCATGTTTTATATTTTAATTATGATAGTTTTTTTTTTTTTTTTGTGACTTAATAACTTTAAAATATTTATTAACAAATAAATATTATTTATTATATATGTTATAAAAATAATTTCGGTTATTTTATACAAGCTAAACATTGTAATACATGTTTTGTTTATATTGTTAAATGAAAAAAAGAATTTAACAGTTAATGTCCATGCATATTAAACCATCAAACATATTTCCCTTATGTATATAATTGGACTTAGTTTACCATTTTAACTTCACTATGTGATTTAGTTGTAAATTTAGTTGTAAATTGTAACAATTAAATATTTATGGTTATTCTATTTTCTAGAAATGAAGCCAAAGACCCTGATATGATACTAATAAACATAAATACTGGTCCTCATCCACCTGGACTTGATGAACTTCAACCTGACACAGCCATTGGGTAAGTTCTTATTGAAAATATTAATTAATAAATTAAAATACAGTGTGTAATCAATAATTGGAAACGCTGTATAATTTTGTATGTATTACATATATTTCAGTTATTTTTTTTGAATGCCTAACAAACTTCAATAAATACTTATTAAGCTAATTAAACTAATTTTATGACATTCAATTTACCGTATGCGCATAATATTTTTTTTTAAATGGCAACCCCATGTTTCGGGTAATTATTTTAACCCATATTTTTTTATGAATTTGAATAGCCAAACCAACTTCCTAAGATTAAAACTAGTTATGAATTGTTTAAATTGTTCTCCATTATAATTTAAACATGTTTCTGCCTACCTATTTAATAATTGAATTCCCTATTTGTTGCATTTGAAATTTTTTCTTCACTAAGTTGAATAATAATAATAATACTAAATTATACATTTTTTCTTTACTAAATTAAATAATAATAATAATAATACATAATGCATTTATTTTATCTATCAAATGCATAAAACTAGTAAATGGGTCTGCATAGACAATAGTTTTTAGATACTACCCATAAAAAGTAATCTAATAGAGTGAAATCTAAAGAATGAGGTGGCTATTGTATTATCCCGTAAGTTTCTGTCTAACGTTTTTAAAAAGGTTCATTCAAATAATTTCTTGCAACAATAGCATTATGTGCTTGGGCTTTATTTTGTTGCAAAATCAAATAGTTTCTTGTTGTAAGAGAAATATCATCTAACATGATCAGTTACTCATTCATTAGAAATTCTAAATATTGTTTTCCATTTAATGTACCATTATATAAATAAGATACTAACAATTTACCTCCAATCAAACTGTATCAAATATCTGTTCCCCAGACAGATTGGTTATTTGTTTCAATATCCTAATGGGAATTTTGATTGTCCCCATAACGATTATTTTGTTTTTTTTATAATCCCATTGTTGATAAATTAAAATTTATCTGCCTACAGAATATAATTTAAAATAAAAGGATTGTCTTCTAATTGAGTAATTAACTAAGAAATAAACGTAAACTTATATTTAGCATCACCTTGGCATAAATGTTGAATTAAATTGAGTTATTATGGATTCATTTTATGTTTTTTTTTTTATAAATTTTATTAACGAAAATATGAGAAATACCTATTTCTTAGTCAAAATGACACATACTAACTCTGGGATTTGCACTTACTCAAGCTTACACTTGAAGCTTAATATCTTCACCTAATGCATTGGTTCATCTAGTTTTTTGGTTGACATTAACTCATGTATTAGAAAAAGACCCTGTATTTCTTAAATTTCTTTCTAATTTATTAAAATAACTATATGACAGTGGTGTCTATTTGAATTTAGAAAAACGAAAACATTTGTTTTATTTGACTAATTAGAACATAATATCCAAAAGTCATACAATGAAAAATAATAAACATACTTGGGTAACGTTCAACAGTGTGACTTGAATTTTTTTTTCATATTTCCATTCAATAAAAATCATATTAACTTTTTCTGAATTATTCATTATTTTTTATACTAAAAACTAATCTTATTTATGAACTTATGAAATGTATAAAAAAAAAAAAAAAACAAAAAAAAAATGGTTATAAGCAAAATCACAGTGATGTCACTAAAACAAATATGACACTGGTAATTACCTAACAGTAATATTGTTATATTTCAAATGAAGACCGTCAGTTTAACATATCTAAATTCCACTTATTCTGATAACTGTAATAGTGAAATAGATGAAAAATTTGTACCTATCATTTATTGGTAATTTTAAAATATCCTACAATAAAAATGAAATTGATATGTTTGAAGATTATTGTACATGAATTAAATACAATTTGTGATTATCCAAAAATAAAAAAAAACAATTTCAACTAATATCAAACATTTTAATACCCATATCTTTTAAATATGGAAATTAGTTTAGCTATTAAAATTCATAAAAAAAATTTAAGTTAGTTAAGTTAATCATCCCAAAAATGGGAGAATTGCCATTTAAAAAAGAAGTTGCGCATGTGAGAAATTAAATTTCATAAAATTAGTTTAATTAGCTTAATAAGTGTATAATAAAGTTTATTAAGCATCCAAAAAAACAATTCAAATATATACAATACGTGTAGAATTATACTCTGTATATTAGACTGGTAGAATTTATTAATAAAATAATAAAAAATTAAAATTTATTAAATAGTTAATACTTGTAAATTAATATGTAAATAAATAAATGCTGAGTGTAGAATACTCAAAAAAAAAATTCACAATTTTATTGACTTTATTTAATATAAACCTGACATTAAATTTTTAATTTGAAACTGGTCTTACTTTAAAAATATAATAATACTCCAGGCTTAATTTATTTATTTAGGTATATTTATAAATTATTTGTTAATTTATTTATATATTAATTAATTTTTGTAATTTATTACCTACTGTAAAATCTAATCAAAATTAAAAGTTGGCAAATTTGTTTTTTATAATTAACATACTAAATACTAGTACCTTGATAGAGATTAAGGCCCTCTAATATGTAAGATGGTGTATGTGTTAACATAAAAAAGTATTTTGGATTATTTATTATTTTAGTTGTAATTTTCTTTCATAGTATTTTATTAATTTATAATAATAATTAATATTTATTGACATACTTAAATTTAATTTTGAATCAAAAATAATATATATATATGTATTTTTTGTATTTAATATTTATTTTTGTAGGCCGGATGAAATGTATTATTTTGCACCTAAGAATCCACAAAATAATAAAAGTTCAATTATTGGTCAACGTTTAGATGTTACAATTTTTGAAGACTTCCTTAACACTGCACCTGTAATGAAAAATATTCATAAATTCAAAAATTATTGTTATAAATAACTAATTGATTTCTTATCAGCTTATTTCATATTTTTAGGAGAAGCATAGAAATCGTTTAGACTTTTATAAGGTTCCTTATTTAAATAATCTCGTATTACCATTAAGAGCTACATTTTCAGCTGCAATCTCGATATTCAATCCATATTCAGATGTTCTTCAAGTTTGTCTACATTTAATATCTAAATAAGTACCTTAGTTTTATTATTTTGACTAATATTAATCTAATCTCAGGTTGTAAAAGTGTTTGGTGGCGGACCTGGGTTTCATTTAAGTTTACCATCTGGTCAAATGGAAGACCAAAGAAATGTTTGGGACATTATGCCATATCAAACAAAACCTTTGATTCGATTCACATTTTCAGAACGATCGAAGAAAAATCATTCTACTAAAATTGGGTTATTATTAATTATTAATATAAATTGTCTGTTTTTTTTTTCTGAATTTAATTAAAGATTTTTATTCTTTTGCAAATAGATTATTTTTGAGTAACCACGAGTACATAAATGTGCCCATCAATATAGTGATGGTTTCAAAACCAGGCCTTTACAGTTCAGAACATATAATCGACTTTGGTGTTGCTAGTAGAAATGGTTTAGTCACTTCTAAAGCACTGAACCTGTGTAATTCAGCAAAGTCAAGTATTATTGTACAGGTATGATCTTTAAAATAATTCATAAATATTTTTAATTTGCTGTAGCATCATTCATTTTTTTTTTTTTTGAAAATTTATTTTTTAGAATGTAACATCTGATTCTCACTTTGTGACTGTGGATTTTCCTCATGAAGTAGAAGTACCTCCACAGTCTTGTACAGCAGGCCAAGTTGCTCATATTAGTTATCACTGTAAGGGCTGTGAATTGTTTTTAAAATCATTATTGATGATCTTATAGTTTTTTTATGTATTTAAGATAAATATTCTATTTTAATAGGGGATTATGTTGGTTATTCATACGGTGAAACACACTATGGACAATTAACTGTAAAAAGTAATAAAGGTAGCGAGTTGAACATACCATACCATGGTAGAACACTAGAGGGTGATTTAGTGTATGAAGAACAATCATTGCACTTTGTGATGTCAAAAGCAATTCGTTCAACAAGCATTATTAAAACTTTTTCATTGCTTAATAATTTTTCATCTACTCCAGTAGCTATTTCTCAAATAGGAATTCCCAAAAACGCCACACAGTATTTTAAGGTAATTTTGTTCATAATTTACCAATTTTTATTTTGAGGCTTATATAAAGCCTAAAAATTATAATTAAATTTTTAATTTCACCTTTTAGATAAGAGATTTTAACCCTGTTATTTTAAGACCGGGTCAAAATAAAACATTATTTCGTGTTGCATATGTAAACCCTAATAATTCTAAAATGGATATCATATCATATATGGAATTTAAAACCAATGCTTCAGATTTTACTATTCCATTGATGGTTTATGATGGACAACTCTCACAGGTTATAAGTTAGAGTATATTAAATAATATTTACTATGTATTATATATGTATATATTGATTTTATAATTAGGTTTTGCCAGCTACTAATATTATTACTTTGCCGCCAATAAGAATAAGTTCACCTCGCCATACTTACATTGTAGTAGCAAATGAAAATCCTGTTGCCATAATGATTAAGGATTGGGGTACAACATATACACCACATGTTTCACTAAATTTGGTTGAAATTGGTAAATTTAATTCATCAATGCGACGAAATAGTGCAGATAGTTGGTCTCGACCAATGATCCGTGATGATCAAATACCAGCTGTAAGTTATTTTGTACCAAAAATTGTTATTTGTTTTTTTCGATAACTTAATAAAAATATCTATTCAATTTTATCCCATTATTTGAGTATACATTTTAATTTTATAGCCTGTAGCATTGCCAGTTAAACATTATGCTATATTCCAATTATTGGTATCTACACCGAACCCAGATCAAAACTTAACAGTTAAAATATGGATTCAAACTCAACATCAGCATTATAGTATACCTTTAAAAGTGTCTGTATTTGACAAGAATTTACAAGTGATAGCTGAACCATTAACATTTGAAAATTGTCATCCAGTAAGTATTAAGTTAATAAGCTATTTTTACCTAAATTTATAATAATACATTTATTATTAGGGGGCAGTATGTACAGCAGAAGTAAATGTTATGTCATGGTTAGACAGAACATTAGCATTAACATCAGTTACAAGTGAATTTGTTAGTGAGAATGTTCGATTTGTTCCCACAAGACCATCACTCATACAACCACAAATGGTGTCTTTAGTTGGACATATAGAATGGATTCCTGCTCACTACAAAAATTCTTCAGGATGGATAGGACTGTTTAGTAAAGCCGGTTTGTGATAAACTCTGAAATATAAATCTATTTAAATATAATTGTGATATATATACATATATATTACGCATTTAGAGAGAGCAATGTGGTTATCAAGTTTTCATTTAACAAATTCTTCTGAAACAAGCTATATGGATTTTTCATGGTTTTATCGTAGAATGGGAAAATATTATGCAGAAGAAGATAACCGTACTCTAAGACATCAGTTTACATTAGAGACCGGTAAGTATTTTATTGAATTTAATTTATTTGTAAAGTGGTTATATACCGTTTTATAGTATTCAATAATATTTTATTTCATAAAAAATATTATGCCTCCCTGAAAAACCTTATGAGAAACAAGCCCAAGGTTATAAGTAAAGGCCTCTTATTAATTCCAGAATAATATTATCTTAAAATAGTCAAAATAAGATGTTTTAATTTTCTTAAAGAGTTGAAAATATTTTTTCAATATTCTTTAAAAATCATAATATAATATACTTTAATGTTATTATATTTTATTAATTAAAAATATGCTTTTATATGCAAATGAATAAAGTACATAAGATAAAAAATTGACATAAATAGGTATATAATAAAAAATAATACAGCTTAAAAAAACTTTAATTTAGATGACATTTTATTTATTTAATTAAATTAGAATAATGTCATGTTTTTAATTAACAACATTTTAAAAACAGTTGACATCAATATTTTGTGTTATGTTTTCTGGTGTGTTATGATCTGTTAAAATGTTTCTAAATGACCAAAAGAATATTCAACGTCAATTTAAGTCACAAGAGCATTCTGCAAATTGGTTATTATAGTCATTAAAAAATTAACTATAATTTGTACTTCATTATTTTTATTCAAAACTTTTGGTACATTTTTCATAATTTAATATCACTATTATCAAATACATAATTTATTATACTTACACAACTGCAACACAAAATATTAAAAATCTATAAAATGAATCATTTTAGTCTCTAATATTTTATATAAAACGAAATATTCTTTTATCTTGAAATATTCTCAAATATGCAAAAAAAAAAAAAACTATTATTATTTACATGTTTCATAATTTGTAAAGATTTCGAACCCCTGTTCAACTGTATAGAATCAAAAAAAAATATTCAAAAGAATATAATACTGGCCTCTGGTTATATGTTATAATTATTATATCACTTATATCAATAATCATACTAATTTTAAAAAGAGAAGTACATACAATTATTGGATTTCAAACATAATATTTAAACTATTGACATCTATCATACTTATACATTATACCTACAATGATTACAAATTTAAAAATATTTCATAAAAATAGAGTTTATATACGAAATTACGGTATAAAGAATATATTTATAAATTTGAACGTAATGACATAAGGTAATATATTGTGTTAATTTTTTTTTAAATATCGATAGAAGTGAGGTTAAATTTTTTTTCAAGAACTTATGTTAATGCCTAAACCTCATGTCAACCTTGACGGAGGATTAGCTTTAGTAAATATCAATTAAAAAAGAAAATCTGACCAAATTGGAAGTTCTACAACAATTTTCAAAAACATCACCTAAGCGTCTACAATTATTAGACTGGACTAAATAAAAATTTATTTTATTGCTTATTATTTTTATTTTTTTTTCACATATTTTTGTTTATTTAATGCTTAATTTAAATAAGAAATAAAAAAAACAACTATTTTATTTTTTAAACCAATGCGCCTGTTACAACTGAGTAATTATTTATTTTTAAGCCCCCCAAAAATTCTGCGTACGCCACTGTCTTGTATTAATCCCATTGTACAATTATATATATTGTAAAAATAGATATAATATTTGCATTTTTATAGTAGTTTTTAAACAAATATCTTAGTGATAATGATTTCATGATATTTTCTCTAAGTTTAAATTTGTTTAAATTTAATTTAGTTATATTTCGGTGATTATTCCAATAACTATTCAATGTATTTCAAAAATCTTATTTTTTTTATGTTAAAAAAAAAATCACTATTGTTTTACTGTAGCCTGATAATATTAGAAGACAGAATTTGTTTGCTAATTATTATGTAGCATGTTATACTATATTATATATATATATATATATTATAATATGTAGGTAATTAACAAATATTATATATATGATGGCAAAATCAATTCCCAACAATACCTAGTTTTATTGGTTCTATTTGTAATATATTTGGGTTTATGTTTTATTTAAAACATTTTTCTTCTATAAAGTATACATAATATGAAGATTTTCTTTAATATTTTTTATCAATATTCTAATAATTGTTAATAATTTTATTCAGGTGGGGCTGAAACATGTCAGTTTAGTGTGCATCTTCATTTGAAATGGCCAAAATTCATACAAGAACCTGGCGAAAACAGACAACAGACTACATTTGAGCTACCTACCATGGAAGTGAAAGGCCAACCATACTATCAAAAAATTTTAGTGAAAAATACATTTCATACACAAAATATTACTTTGCATTTGGCTATGTATCCACATCCATACTGGTGCAATATCACAGAATTCATAGACTTATTTGAACACGAGTGACTATGAGCAAATATTAATTAATGTAATTATATGATATGTCTAGTAAAATGTCTGAAATTTATTTAGGGTTAATTCTTTGCTGATATCACGAGATGATTGGGAATTAGTATTGAATAATACTAGTCCTTATCGAAGGAAAGTATTAAATGTTAAAAACTCTGTGTATGTTCCACATAAGAAAACAATGATATTTGTTTTACCTCCTCAAAAACAACTTGAAGTGTTAGTAAGATTTCAGCCAAAAAAACCTGGAGTTAGTACATCTATACTTTTTATTAGGTATGTTGTACTAGGTAAAATTAATTTTAAAAATTGAATTAAATATTCTAACCAGGGAAGTTATTTTTCTAGAAACGATGTATCCATTTTAGAAAGTATTTTACTAAAAGGAATGGGAGCTTATCCAGTATTATCATTTGGGTCCAAAAGAAAACTACCTCCATTAATTTTTGATCTAGAATCAAGTCCTATGATTGATGTCATTTGTAGTAAAAGTATGTATTTTTTAATTTTTAATATTTTGTATAAAATATTGATTTATTTATAGATAAAACATCTTTACCATCGGAGACCAGAATATTTTTAATAAAGAATCCTGGCAAACATACAGTAAGGATTATTTCCATGACAATAAATAGTGTACTGTGCAGTGGCTTTGGCTTTAGAATTTTGGATTGTAGAAAATTTTCTCTTTTACCTAATCAATCTAGAGAAGTATGTTTTCAGAATGACTTATATTTCCAAAGATGTGTATCTTACAAAACTAATGTAATCATTTTATTTTTCAGGTGTCTGTAGAATTTACTGCTGATTTCACATTAAAGTCAGTAATTCGTCAACTAGAAATAAATACTGAAGAAACAATTGGATCAGAGACTACTAATCGTATATTTATCTACCAATTGTGGGGTATTGTACCACCTGAATGGGAATTATGTAAAGAAAAATACACATGGCAAGAGTTTCGTCGTGGTGATAGTTGGGTTAGACCAGAGTGGGAATCTTCAATTGGTCAAGTTATACTCGTAGCAGCTGGCATTCTAATGGTAGTGGCTTGGCTTGTTTCAATAGCTGCTGTGCACACTATTGACAAAGATTTTTTATCCAAAAATCTTGGTCCTCCTTGTGTTGGAGCTCATGGAAAACGATCGTTTCAGTCTGTTTTAGCACAATCGGCAAATAATAAAAAAACAGAGTTTAAGTATGTTATGAAACTTCTTATAATATTAATATTAAAAAATATTTTATTTAAAAACTAACAGGAGTTCTAAGCACAAAGAAAGCATTGAAGAAAAACGTAATGAAGTAATATCAGATCCAACATCTTTAGGGATAACACAAAGTGAAAACAGTTATGTCAAGCCTTCAGATTCTACACCTATTTGGAGTTTTATGCTACGGAATACAGATCCAGAACCAGAACAAGTAAAATTTTTCTTGCTAAATTTTTTAAATTTAAAAATATCTAAATTAATGACCTTACACTTTTAGAAACTTGAAAAAGATCGAAGCAGATCTCATATACTTGACAATCATCCCAAAGAAAAAACAAAGAGACGGTATTTAAGTCAAACAGTGCAAGAAACAGATTCAAGTCAAAAGTATAATATTTCTTCATGGCAAGTTGCGAGAAACAGGTAAAATTCTAAATTTGATTATCTGTAAATTTTCATAAGTATAAGCTTAAAGATATTCAAAGAACTATAATCAATTAAAGTAATATAAAAAATAATTAGTATATAGCAAAATTAAATTGTATCAAAACAGCAATAATTAATAGTAATATAAAATTTTCTTTAATGTTAAATTTACAAAAAAAAAAAAAATATTAAATTTGATTAACCAAACATTGTAAAATAATTAAATTTTTTTGAATTGTTGATGATTTTTAAAGATCTCCAGCACAGATAATAGATCCTTTGTTGAACAAAAATTCGAAATTGGACGAAGGGAAATTTGAAACTGAAAATCGAAGACGTGCTGAAAAATTATTAAAAAAACAGTTTGGCCTAAAACCAGTGGATAGTTGGAGAAAACATAAGAAGGCTTTAAATGCTGCTAAATATTATGAAGAACTTCCAGCAACAGAAAAAATTAATTCAAATCAAGAACAAAAGGTGCCAGTAGAAAGTAAACCAGATCCTAAAATTGTAAAAACTGTCAAAAGCAATAAAAAAATTTCAATCAGTCTTCCAGTTATAAAGCAAATTAATATTACAGATTCACCAATAACAGTTTTAAACTCCTTGCCTGAAGTTGTAAAGAAACCTATAGCTTCTGTTGCACCTTATCAAATTGTTCTTCCCAAACAATCAAATGTGACAGTAGTACAACCAGAACGTTTAAATGAAAAGATTAATGTTTCTAAATCAAAAACAGTACAAACTGCACAGAACAAAATTGAAAAAGATTCTACAACACGGCCCGTGATTTCAAAAAAATCAATTAGTGATGATGATGGGCTATTGGTGGAGTACAAATGTATGAAAAAGAAAAATAAAACTGAAAGAAAATCATCATTACAGCCACCTACTTCATCAATAATATCACTAGTATTCGCACCAGTAGCACCTCCCACAGTATTTAAACCAAAAGTTCAAACTGTAGAAAGATTCAATTTGTCAGAAACAACAAAATCAAAAATTCAAACTGTTGAAAGATTTAATTCATCGGAAGTCATCAAAGTAAAAGTTCAAACTGTAGACGTATGTAATTCACCTGAAGCAGTGAAATCAAAAAATCTACAATCTTTGGAACAAAGTCATTCATCAGAACCATTAAAATCTAAGGTTCACATTGTAGAGGATTCATCAGATGTAATAAAACCAAAGGCTCAAACTGTGGAAAGATGTAATTCACCAGAAATAACAAAACAAAATACTTATGAAATAGTTTTGGCTAACGTAGAAAAAGAAAAAAAGGAAACTCCATCATTGAATAAAATTCCTCAGACATATCAACAACCTGATATCGAGAAAAAAATAACTGTATTAAAAAGGGGCTCTGATGAAAAACAAGTGAATCTATCGCCAACTGTAACCAATAAACATGGTAATATTTTATTTTATAACAATATTCAAATTAAAATATAAAATATGTATATATATAATAACTTAATTGTCCTATATGAATACAATTTGTTTATAATTCTTCTTATTTATCCTTATTTTTTATCCTAGATTTAAAGGACCCTTGTCACCCTTGTCCTCTAAATAAATTTTTTTTTTACAAAAAATATAATAGATTTATATACTATAATTTATTAAAGTTTCTTTCATTTTCTAAATCAGCCTTATTTTTTTTATTTTTTATTATTCATAAAATAAAACAAAAAATAGTAAATTGTTAATACTTGTAATTAAATATGCAAATTAATAGTTTATACATAAACTATTTGTTTATATAATTATTTATTGTTAAATATTAATTAGTTTTATGAATTATATGTTTTGGGTTTTACCCTTTTCTTTACTTTTTTATTTATATTATTGGTATTTTTAGTTTTTATTTTAGGCCCTGTGGGTTCAGGAAGAGATCGCAAAAATGAAGAAAAACTAACGAAATGTGAATCTGATTCGGTTTTAGTAGAGGCTATTAAAAAAGAATCAGGTTTGTTTTGGTTGAAGAATTTATCTAAACCAATTATTGAAATTAATATTGAATCAATTCAAAGCTTAACTCATTATATATTTTTATAGAATCTAGTATTTCAATAATTGATACTATGGCAGCAACAACATCGAACAGTGAGAGTCGCACAGATATTATGACATTTTCTACAAATGATCCAGGATATAATTTGTGGACATCGTATGTGTGGGGACCTGTTTATGAGCAATCTACTAAAAATTCTAGTCCACAAAAATAAATTTTTGAGTAATGAATAATTAAAAATACATTTTAAATACCTTTTAAATGCTTAAATTATAAACAATATTAATTGCCTATAATTCATTTTTTTCTAGATACGTACTGAAGACCACTGCCCATGTAGTTATGCAAGTCTTTTTGAAGTTCTGAAATTTAGACTTTCTTGAGGACAATTGTAAGTTTATTTTGTGTTTTATAGGCAATAATGAATTTGTTTGATAGTAGACACATTTTGTTTTTGTGGACATTTTGTGAGTCTAATTGAGCACGATTTTTTTTAGATTTCTTGATATTTTGTTTCTACCTTGTTCATTTTTTCTTTCTTTAATATCTGTATTAATTCAGTAATAAAGATGTGAAAAAATTTGAAAATACAAATTATGCTTATTTTATATATTTTACTCCTATGATCAATCTATATTTTAATAAATTCTTTGGCAATCGAATAAAAATCTAAAGGTTTTACGGTCTTAAAATAGAGAAAAAGTAAAAAAAAAAAACATTACAACCATTTTCAAAAATAAATGATTAAAACTAGTTATAGTTTTATAAATATATTTTTTAATTACTGATAATATGAATATAATATAATACAGTCTAATTTTAATTTAATTTAATGGTTGTAGCTTATTCTTTCCTTTTACAAATAAAAGTTTTTTTTCAACTCATATTTTAACTTAATATCTGAATTTATATTTTTTGAAAATTAAAATTTTAAATTTTAATGATTTGGTATTTACATTTATATAAGTTTTTATTTTATGTACTCATAGGACATGTTTACCCATTCATGAACATACATCAATATATGTATTATTAATAATGTTTGCTGGTACCACATCAATAGTTTATTTGAATTTATTAAAATCTTTAATGAAAATAAAATTAGATATGATAAAATAAACTTATACAAATAAAATAATACATAAACTTATTAATAAATAATTAATTAAATTTCATTATTATTAAATTTTCTTCCTAATCTTTTTCTGTATATTCTTTTACATTTCTTTCATTATTAATTGGCAATAATGAACTTGCTATGGCAGCAAGAAGTGCTGCTGTAATATATATTATTATTGAAGTAGTAAATGATGATTTGAGCAATACCTAAAAATAAATGATTAAATTATTTTTTAATTTTATAAGTAATTTATGTAATAAAAAATATTTACCTGTGCAATATATGGAGTAACCATAGCACCTAACCGAGCCATAGCACTGCATGTACCAACTCCAATTGTTCTTAATGGAGTTGGATAAATCTATAACATTGGTTTTATAAAGTAAAATATTTACTTCATATAAAATAGAAAAATTACCTCTGGTGTGTAAACATACACAGCTTGGAACACTCCAGCAATTATACCTCTTGCAAAAAATAATGTTATTGTCAACAACACACGACTACTAAATTAAAGAAAACATAAGGATCACTAATATGTTATAAATGTATGTTTAACATCTTACTTTTTTGCAAATTGAAATAAGAAGATTAAGTTTATGGCAAACATTGTAAATTGAAAAACCAATGTTATTTTTCGACCAAATCTATCAATTACATAAATGGTAGCAAATATGCCTGATAATATACATATTTTGTTTAATGATAGTTGACACACTTAAAATATTGACAATGATTGCTATTACCTGGAAATTCTGCGAGTGTTGTCCATAATAGATCAATATAATCATGAGTTGTCAAGTAATGAGATTCAGCTGTACAAGTTTGCACAGTTTTAAAAATATCACCATCAAGATTTGCTGAACAGATTCTATTATTGTTGCCACTTTCAAATAATCCAGTGGACATTAACACAATGCCATAATAGCAAAATGCACATACTAACCTAAATAAATAATACCAAATTTACATTATATAGATCAATTGTTTACAGTACAAATTAACTATAAATTACCAAATGAACCAGAGTAAAATTGAAGTAACTCTAAGTTGTGGCAACAGAAGATCAGTGAAACGACCATTTTTTTCTTCTAGAACTATGTCATCGACAACTAATCTGCCCAAGAGCATTGGTTTCCCATTGTCATGAGCAACTTTTTTTAATGTGTCAATAGCTTTGTCAGTTTGGCCACTGGCCACCAAATACCTAGCTGATTCAGGCAACCACTAAAATTAAGAACACACATATTTATTTAATAATAAATAACAACATTGAAATTATTTATGAATAAAATTATAAATAGAAATGTGCAAAAAGCGTTTACGTGTTTTATTACCGGGCAAACACATGCGAAACCAAGCAATGGTGCTGTGGATAATACTAAAAGCCATTTCCAACCTAATGTAGGCATCACTATAAGGGCTAAGAGAACTTCGAAGCATGCTCCAAGTGCCCAAAAACACTAAATAAAAATTGACAAAAAAAGCATCATTAATTATTCAATCATATATAGGATTATTGAGGTGATATAAGATAGATTTTTATAACTATACTGTGAATAAATTATTTTATTTTAAAATAAATGCACTAAAAGATAATGAAAGAATATGATTACATTTTCTTTTTTTGTCTTATCTGACAGATAGTATAGTAAAATAAATTACATGATGTAAGAACTTAGAAATTGAATAGTGGTGTATAATATTAATTTAAGAACAAACCACTAATTAATCTTATTACTTCTGGAACAAAAGATTGTTTTGCATTCATTGAAATTAATAACATTTTTAAATACAATTGTAAAGTAAGATGATACCTTATATAAGGCTAAAATTCTCAGAAAACAATTTTACTTTTAAAACTCAATAGTTTGTAAATCAATTGAAGTTTTGTTACATTATACTACTATGTATATAAACCAAATATATTGAAAATATAGGTAAGACACTATCTTCAGTGGTTAAAATGGGAGGAGACGGAGTCACCCTTCTTATTTAAGGTAAGATTATGCGTCCTCTTTAATTTAAGTCGCCAAAAGTCCGGGTGGACGCTTAATGGCATTGGACACTAAAATACAATATGGAATATACAATACTTATTATAATATTACAATATTATATGAAATTTATTTTCTTCATTAATTTGAACAAGTGGAAAAAATTTCGAAGAAATAATATGTTGGTACAACGATAAGCAAAAATTAACCATGGATTTATTTAATTGATGCTGTGTCTAATTAGAGATGATCCCGAGCGGTTATTACCCATAGCTCTAAAATGAAAGTGATAGTGAAATAGACTATTATTTAGAATACATTTAAACAGAATAGAATAACTATAAATAGTATAAATATTAATTTGTGATAGAGGATAGACACTATCTTATAGATAGTACACACCTTATGTGCAATGTACGTATTTGTTACTGTCTACGTTGACCAACAACTAGCAAGGTTAGTTATTGTTTCTTTTTAGTTTTGTTAAGTTTAAGTTAAGTTTTTTTAACATTACCTACTATGTATTTCAATTTATTTTTTGAGCAGGCATATGTATAGAATTATTTTTCTTTGGGGGAAATTTGTTTTTACACCCTATGAAAATAAAGTTTTATAAACATATATGTGTAACAGAAGAGGCTTAGATCTCTTGGGTTTCCTAAAAAAGGTTTGTAAGATTTAGAATTAGATAGGGGAACGCTTCTCAATTTTTGATGAATATAGTTCCCCCACAACATTTTTCTCACTTTAACCACTGACTATCTTTATTAACTAAGTCACATATAACATCAAAATCTATTTTGTTTCACCTCAACTTGCATGTAATAATATGTAATTACTAAAAATCTTTAAAATTTACTACAATAATTACAATACTAATAACTAAACTTACATCAAGTAACACTACACATTTGGCTCGTTGTTTACAAGGCAAAAATTCTGCGTACAATGTAACACTAACAAATACACAATACAGCATAAACAATCAAAAGATTACTAATTGAAAAATTAAGCTTGATAAATGTATTTAACATACGATTGTGGAGAACAACCAATAGCAAATCCAACTAGTCCTCGTAAAATTAATAACCATGTGTAATTTGGGGACATTGAACTCAGGATACCAAAATAAAACAATAGCACAGAACATAGTGTTAAAGCCTGAAAATTTTAAAATATTATTATTTTTATTTATTTGATTAATTTTCACTCAAGTTTATACATAGAAAAATCATTCCACAATTTGTTTACTCTTTGATTACTCAATAAAAATAAATAAATTAACATACTGGTTTTCTACCAAACTTGTCACTGAATGATCCCCAAAATGGTAAACTTAACATCATACCCAGAAAAACAATCTAAAAATAATTTAAATAATAAATAAATAATAATTTTACTTTAATTATAATTATTAAGAAATAGTTAAAATAAAGACTATAGCTTGAAAAATACAATGTTTATTGTAATTATTAATGCAGCAATTCAATTATTAAAAAGAATATAAATTCATTAATGAAGTACTAACAGTGGTCACTAGTGCTTCCTGAAAGAGTGTAATCTGCCATTCATAATGTAAAGTAGGTGACAAAATGCTTAAAATAGTTGTTTCCATGCTATCGGCCATCCAACAAAGTCCAGTGAATAATGACAGTTTCACTTGAAATTTTCCAAATCCAAATGCATCTACTGCTTGAGCTACAGTATAAGTTTCTTTAGGAAACAATAAATCGATGAATACTCCAAAATATCAAGTTGATCACAAATATTTTAATAATGCTATGAGCTTACCATCAGGGACAACAGTGACATTACTCATTTCAAAGTCTTGCGCCTGTCTCTTGGCCGTAAAAGTATTGCTAATTTTACGGTCAACGGTCTCGGTTAAGTTTTGGTAACCTGAAGAGGACTCCATGTTACAAGTTTTCGTCAACAAATAGAAATGGATTAAGTCACATCATGTAGCCACCCGATGGGAATTTTTATAAAATCTGCCTGTAATCGAAAAAATGTTTCTAGAATAAACAGCGAATTTGATCGTTCGAAAATTCTATAATTGCAATAGAATAATTTAATATTTTAATTTGATGACGGTGTTTATTAATTGATAAGAACATAGCGGTTCTTTTCTTATCACTATACTAATATTTATGTATCCATGAACAGTCATCTATGCCATGCGTGTGTTATAATCATTGATATCAATTATATAAGTCAATTCATAGAGTAACTCAAGAGCAATTTTGGCGATGGCGGCGGTCAGTTTGATAAAGCAGCTGTTTAGTGAATTGATTACAGAATTTCTTTTTTAGTTAAAGAGTCAAAAACACTTTTCAATCTAATTGTTGACCGTACGAAGTGTACTTGTAAATTAGTGTTTTTCCACTACGAATTAGCCATAATTAACTTAAAGTGAGTAGCGTTTATGACCTGTTTTTAAATTTATTTTGGACGTTACCGTCAGGGCCTAAAGGTCATTGAAAAGAACAGCAATTAATTAAAACAGTGAAATTTGTTACAGAATGTTTAGCAGTGTAAAAGAAACGTTTAGCAAGCTTGTGCAGGCGCCTTTTATTGTTGTTAGGGCTGAAGATGAACTAGTTGACCCCCAAAGGGTTTTGAGAGTATGTTTGATATAAAATGTATAGTTGGTCACATGTTGATACTTATTTTTATGTTTTAAAAACTAGGAAAAATGTGAACAGGAAAAAGAAGCGCAAGTACGATTTGCCAAGCTTGAAGAATGTAATAAACGTGTCCGTTCTAAGAAATCTACGGCTGAAACTTGTGTCGAAGAATTATGGGATTTCCTAGAGGTCGTTGATAAATGTATTGCAAAAGATTTATTTGACCATCTCAAATGAAATATGTATGCAGTTTAACAGCCATTTAGTTTAGGTACTTTCATGTGGTTTACCTTTCAGTAAACTATTAATTCTATTATTTATTGTTTAAACTTTGCAATAAATTTAATTAATTAAAAAATAGTTGTGTTTCTTACTGATTTATAATGAAATATGTAAATTTACTTTAAAATAATGGTTTAATAAATTGAGTGAAGCAAATTTTTAGCTATTTCCAATTTTTATTTTTTTGAAGTATAAAATCTATGTCTAAGGCTTTAAGAATTTGTATTAGTAGTAATCTGTAAATGAAAAAAAAAAAAGGTGAGTAAAGAAACTATCCAGTGATCGCATCTCTTTTTGCTTGTATATACATATATATATATATATATATATGTACATTAGGGTGGATCAAATTAATGTAAAAAAACTTTTTTCTTTAAAATTCTAATATAGGTATTACAATTTTTACGAAAAAACATTTGTGTTAATTGTATTAAAGTAAATAGTTAATATTTATTAATTGAATACATATATTTTTTATATTTAATCATATTTAAAATGAGTATACAAATCTATCTAAACTTTACTTATTCGAAAAGTTTCGTGGCTGATTTTGGATCAATTTTAAATCAATGGACGAACGAATTAATATATTTAGTGTCTATAGTGTCTATCTGGTTCATACATATTGTCGGTACACAAGAATAGTGACAACTCAAAAAAGTAGGTTTTCCAGTACAGCAGTTTAAAGAATTCTTTTTTCTTGTATAAAACATCACGAGCTTGGATTGTTTAAATACATTTTTTTTTTTTTTTGGAATCAATTTAACTGTTTATTTTGCATTGTAACTATATAAAGTTTATTTTAATAACATTAAGAATTCACTTCAAAATTATTCCGTTTTCATCCCTCTTTTGAGTTATGACGATTTTCTTGAAAACATAATGTCACACTTTATATGATATGTAATTATATAAATATTATTGACACAAATGTTATTTATAAATACATATTTTGATATAAATGAATACAAAAACAACCCTTTATTGAATAAACTAAATATCAAAGTATTACTTAACAACTTAGTTTATGTTTTTAACATAAATTATTGGACATAAAATTAAAATAATTCTTAATAGCTATTAAATCATAAAAAAATATATATATATATATATATACATAACACTGTATTGGTAAAAATAAAATAACACTATAGTATAACTTCTTAAGTATTATAAACATAATATATTATTAAAACGTAAAAATAGCAGCTCTATATTTGTTCTACAGTATATAAATTAATTGGTAAGTCAGTAGTTATTACTCCTAATATAATGCAAATATTGAAGTTCCATTTTTTTAACATAATATGTAACTTATAGCCCATATTTTACCATGATAAAAAAAAATCCAAAATTCAAAACCACCAAAAAATTTCGAAAATAGCCTTTTGTAAAATTGTAAAATCATACGGTTATTGGTTTTTTCAGTAATTGTATTAATTATATTTTAACTTCATTTCAGTCTAAATTAAACTTTGCCTTATCTGAGAAAACGTTTAAATGTGTGATATTTAAATTATAATTGGCATTAAAATATTTAAAATTACTTATATAAATAATGATACTGATAACAATATTAATTATACTCTGTTGAAGTCACTATGGTGTCATTTCTATTTACCTAGATATCATAATTTTAAAATTCTATTTATGCATAATGTAGGTGCGCAGATTTGTTTAAACAACTTAATTTAATATTAGTTTTAATTTCATTTGAATTTTTTCATTAAATAAGTATTAAAATGAAATTTAGAATATTCGATTACGTAGAAATGGTATTTATTTATTTTGAAAATATTAAAAGCCTAAGAGTCACTTCCAGAATATTTGATGAGTTGTATTCCGAGAGACATACACCAAATAATATTGTAATTGATAAGAATATCTAAATTGAATTATTTATTAATTTGTAGGTCGAAAAATTACTTTTAATTATTTGTTATAAGGTAAATTAATAGAACGTTTCCGAACTACTGGCAGTGTTGCTGAAATTAAAAACCCTGGGAGATCCAAAAGTGCATTAAATGAGTACAATTAATGTTTTGGTTAGTGCAATAGCACAGCCTAAACTTTCATTGTGTAATTGTGCTGGTGAAGCATATTTCAATTAAAAAAGAATACTGAAGAATAATGGTTATCAGCCATATAAAACAATGTTTGCACACGAACCTGGCGATACGAATATTCGTTTGAATTTTTGTAATTGGGCTTAAGAGCAGTTACTTGAAAATGAATATTTTGTTAAAAACATAATTTTTACGAATGAAAGTATATTTTTAGACCTGGTCAGATTAGTTAACACTAGGCTGATTCCAATCCATACATTATTTCAGAAGCACATAGTATGATGAAAAACTAAATGTGTAGTGTGGTATATGGAATACTAATATCATTGGTCCATTTTTTATCGAAGGTAATATGAATGGAGAAATGTATACAAATTCATTGGATGAACAAGTAAATATAAATTCTATTAAATTAAATTGTACTTTTTTTTTTTATATAATTTATAATACAATTTCAGATTTGGCCTGCAATTCAAAATCATTTACGTAGTAATACAGAATTTGAATTATCATACTTCATACAAGATGGAGCTCCGGCACATTATGCCAAAGGCGTATTTGAGTTATGGCCATGGGAGGGGGGAATCTAATTTTTTTTCAATACAAGCTTAAAAATAATTTACTGTTCATTACCCAAAGCTCATGTTCCTGTTATAATGATAACATTATATTCTTAATTATTTATACATTTATTTTGCATTATTTACATTTTTTAAATAAATCAATGTATTATATTCAAAAAAAATACGAGCCATGGGGGTAGCGAATGCCCCCTTCGCCTCCCTCAAATACGCTCTTGCATTATGCTTTTATTGCTAGAAATTGGTTGAACAACCATTTCCCTGAAAAATAGATTGGCAGAGGGGACTAATAAATTGGCCAGCTCGATCCCCAGACTTAACCCCAATGGACTTTTTTTTGTGGGGCTACCTCAAAAATGTTGTCTATCTATCTACATCCATTCAAGAACTTCATGAAAGTATAATAAAAAATGTGAGAGATATTTCCAGAGATACATTAACTTTATTACAAAGATCATAGTTGTATAAAATTGAGTTATGTATAGCAGTCAATGGGGAGCATTTTGAACATTTATAAAAATAAACAAAAATATTACAAAAAATATTAATGAGTTGTGTGTACCTTATTACCTAATATAGTATTATTAGTTATCTATTTAAAAGTTTAAAAACCATACAATTATACAATTTGCTGTGTTTTTTGAAAATATAAAATGCTCTTATTCATTCAAAACTCAACAGAGTTCAAATTTTTTTTTCTCTAAGTAACTTATAAGTCTATGGTCAGACTAGACCTGGCATTGGCCGAATTCGGCCCAAAAAAAACAAAATATTTTGTTTCCATCTGACATCGGCCGTAAATTACCGAATTTCTCGGATGTAATGTGTCCGGGTACAATTGAATTTTATATTTTAATTTTTTTCGGCCGATGCTAGGTCTAGTCTGACCGTAGACTAATTCTTCGAAGTGGTTATTTTCGAAAATTTTCAAAAAAAATTTTGGTGGTTTTGAATTAGATTTTTTTTTTAACCATGTTAAAATATGGGCTATAAGTTACATATTATGTTAAAAAAAACGGAACTTCAATATTTGCATTATATTAGGAGTTATAACTACTGACTTTCCAATTAATTTACATACTGTGTAATTTGGGGCCATAAGTCTTATATTACAAGTCGCAATATTTAAAAATTACAAATTTTCATAAAAAAATGCTTACGACTTCGGGATAAATTTTTTTTGCAGTAGTTTCAGTAAACCTGGTTTTTTAACCGCTACCCCTATCTTGATAGTATATATCTGTTTTAGATCATCAATGGTACTTTTGGTTTTCTTTTTAATTCTTTTTCAGAACAATATGTTTTAAAAAAAATTGTTTGAGGACATTATTTTTCAAACTACTCCGCTATAAATTGAATCCTTCAGATTGTTTCCGATTACAGATTTTTATATATTTTAATTCAATCAATTATGGTTAATAAGGAAAAAATATTTATATATTTAATATTATTTTTACCTCTATCATGTAGAATATATTTGTACTGTTATTTCTCCAATATTAGTAGATAAATAAAATTCAATAATATTATTTACAGAAGGGTAGCTAAATTTTGAAGAATTGTGATCTAGGTTGGTAATTCTTTTTTTTTTTTTGTTTAGTAGCGAATTTATCTATATGGATGAATTTTTTAACTTACATAATTTTTTAGATAAAATGAAATTATTTATCTTGATAAGATAAAATATAATTAAATAATTATCTAGATAAGTCTCAACACTACACATTATACTATAGGCTAGTGCTTCCTAAATTTTTTATGAACGCGACCCTGATATTTAAAATTAAACTATTCACAACAGCAGAAAAATAAAAATAAAAAACTGTGGGCTACCCCTAGTATACAGTATATCCTATAGTATAGAGTTTATACTATATAACAATGATATAAGAATAAGATGAAATACAGACTTGTAATTATAAGAGCTTTCTATTTCACGTGTACTCGTTTTCACGTATTCCCGTGAAATTAACATTTGAAAACATAAAAACGTGTACTTGTAAATTCCGTGTACACGTGCATAATTGTCTACGTATTTAAATCTTAATCAGAATCGACGAAATCTATGGGCGACCTGAGCGATTGTCCAGGGTGCCAGCAAGAAAGGGGCGCCAAATTGAAAATTATTTTTATCTAATTTATCTTTTAATACCCATTATAGATCTACAGAAAGAATATAACAGTTTTTCCTTCTACTTCAATACTGCATCGATACCGTTGATTTTAATGTAAAAATAATGCACGGAAACATACTGAATACCACCATTATTACCACTACAATATTTTAGATTTTATTTCTCACGTCGCGATCAAACACAATAACTAGATTTGAATATATACTCGTATTTTTTTTTTTCAACCCGAAGGTTGGTTTACAACTCCAATTC